CAATTTTGCTTCTTTTGAAAACAAAAAGTACAAAATTAAAATAAGCTTTACTTTGCACATTGTAGTTCTTTTCACGCTGCATCTCCTGGTATATTTTGTTTTTCTAAAACAACTTATTAAGGGATGCAAAAATGAAATGGAAAAAGGCCGTTTTTTTGTCCGAGGGAGACTACAGCATTCGTAGCTTTAGTTGAATATCGATATTATGGAATATAGTTTATAAGTTCTGTTCTGACACTTATAAGATCTAAAATAATAATACTTGTTAACTATAATCGATTATGTTTCCAAAAGCTTAAATTGCAAAACTAGTCAATACAAATATATGGAGAAATCGCTGAAGTCAATACATATTTGTCACTGAGCCTCGGAAGGAATAGAATTCATTGAAAAAAAAAACAAAATAAAAAGTTTGGGTTCCTGTAATTGTTAATACATATTGAAGAAGATCGTATTTTTCTTGAAAATTGTTTAAACTTTTCCCCTTAATATAATCAAGAACTAAGCTAATGCAATGCAAATAAACTTTCAACAACGTTTATTTGTCGCCTAACTCGATGGTTTACTAAACTTCGAAGTTTCATATATCTGTTATGATCTGACAGTTTTATTTTATTACTATCAAATGTTCGCATCATTTTTTAATCTTGCTTGTTTTTGCTTTCTCATCAGATTTCATGTTTTTGTATGTTTTTTTCTTGAATGAATATTCTCTGACATACTCATTATTATTATGGAATAGCTGTAAGTTGATTCACGCATTGCATTAATTTATGAGTAATCATATATTCATTCTACCATAAGTTAACAGTAGTATTCGAGTCTACGGAAGAATTTTTTTTTTCCTTATTTGTTAATATTCTTTTGCCATGGCGAAGTTGCTCTGAAAAAAAAACTATATGTCGTCTTACGACAGAAAGAAAAAAAATAGGCATGAATAAGTCGACAGAAAATACAAAAAAATAACCGACCGAAGAACATTGTATGCGTGTGTTACACAACTCTGTGGTAATTGACGGCACCCCCGTTTTATTTCTTCTATAAAACGGAGCATTATTGTGTTTTCGCTTCATACATTCATCGTAAAAAAGTAGCAATGACTTTTAGTGAATTGTTAGGTGAACAACTTCTTCAACATAACGAATCGGGCACTGAATCAAATGAAATATCAACGACTCAACTTAATGGCAAAACTGTTGCACTTTATTTCTCGTCTGTTTATTCTTAATTAACTGAAAGAAATATATCTTGTTTTTTGTTCTAGAGCTCATTGGTGTCCACCATGTCGAAATTTTACACCAAAATTAGCTGAAATTTTCAAAGAAATTAAGAATGAGCTAAAAGATAAATTTGATATTGTCTTTGTTTCGTGTGACGAAGATCAGGCTTCTTTTGATGAATATTTCAAAGAGATGCCGTGGAAAGCTTTACCTTTTTCTGGTAAGTTGAATATTTCTTTCATATTACAATAATGAGAAGAAATGTTAACCAAATATTGAATAATAACCTTCCGTATGACAAGAAAAGCGAAGAGTTTCAATAGAATTTTTTTTATTTTCATTATTTCTTCTGAAAAAAAAACAGCTATTACTGCAATGCATATTAAATTAAAATCTAAAACGCAGTGTACCTGCTCTTGCTAAGCACGAAGAAATTGCTTTATCTTATCTATTTTGGGACACATTTTCTTCACCATTCTTTTACTTAACTCTTCAGAAATGCCATAAATGGTTCATATATTATAACGAGATGTTATTTATATAGTCTATGATCGTACATCAACAAGGTCTGCCACTGTCTGCGATTGTCTCTGACCAAAGCCTTGCGGATCAATTCTGAACTCAACTAGATACAGATCTGAAGATATTGAACCTGATCGGCTCTAGTCGCCTGAGAGATGTGTAGAGTGTGCTAGTTACCAAACATAAAAAGCTGGAAATAAAGAATTGCTTATCATCGGGGCGACTATAAAATTCCAATAAGAAAACTCCATTGAGAGTATCAAAGTACGGCTCAGCCGGATGCGAAAATTTTGTATAAAACAGTCTCTATCACTGATCATCGTCTGGCAAGATCTATGCGAAATAGTTGCAATTGTCTACCCTATATACTTCAATACTGCATTTAGATCGTGTTTCACAAAATACATTGAATTAACTATTAATTCGTTGCAATAGATGATAATGTGAATCGATAGTATTTTGAGAACTTTGTAAATCAAATTGAATGAATCAGTAAAATAATATCTATTTAGATCAAGATCGTTCAAAAACATTGGGTGAAAAGTTTAATGTCGAAGGTATTCCCGCTTTAGTTGTTCTTTCTTCTACATGTGAAACAATTACTTCGGATGGCGTTGAAGAAATACGTGCTTCATCCAAGAAAGCTTTAGAACAATGGTCACAAGGAAAACGTTTATTTTGGTCACGGGAAGCACGTGAAGGTGAATTTGCTTGGGAAGGTACTTCCTGTACTCTTTGTTACATGACTCCTTTGATTGGTCCACGTCATGGTTGTACACATCGAGAATGTAATGTTAATGTATGTCAAACATGCCTACCGAATAATAAGCATGAACATCCTCTTGCTGAATATCTCATACCTAAAAAAACTTATTCATTAGAAACACTATTTAAATCAGTACCTTATTTACTTAATCCTAATAATGAAGAAAAACTTGAAACAAAAACAATGTGGGAAAATGATGTAAAAAGTGTTGGATTTTATTTCTCTGCTCATTGGTGTCCACCGTGTCGTGCTTTTACACCAAAATTGGCAGAACTTTATAAAGAAGCACAAGCAACTTCTTCTAGTTTTCGTATAGTTTTTGTTTCATGTGATCGAGATGAAGAGTCATTCAATAGCTATCGTGCAGAAATGCCTTGGCCTGCTGTTCCATTAAATGCAAAGAGCATTCTCGAGGGATATTTTCGATTTTCAGGTGAGTGTTTCTTTAACTTCCTGATTTTCACAATGATTATTATTCTTTTTTACAAAGGTATTCCATCATTATTCATTGTTTCATCTGATGGAAAAATTTTATCACGTCGTGGTCGTGATAATATTTCAAGTAAAGGAATCGAAGCATTGAAAACATGGGCACGAGGAGAAAAATTACCTCCTCCTTTGCCAGAAGAATTTGAATGGTCATCTGTCTCATGTGATGGCTGTAGTATGGCTCCTCTTATTGGTCAAAGATATCGTTGTTCAACATGTGGTAATTATGATCTATGTTCGGCGTGTGAAAAGAAAGGACATGAACATCCACTTGAACTTGTACCACAACCAACTGAAGATGACGAAGATTGAAATAAAACGCAAAAGATATTTACATTCGTATAAGACTTTTTCGACTGTTGAAATTAGTCTCTAGTTTAGTCCCCAATCTTTTTCAATAAAATCTATTTTTTCTTCAATCGATTTCAAATTGCATTGCAAGAAGACATTTTTTTATAATGATATCCTAATAAATATCTTGATTCTTTTGTGTAGTAATATCCATCAATAATATTATATTAAATAAGAGTTATTTATTTTGTTAAATGACAAAATAAACAGCTCTTGGAGGAATATTAATGGCTCAATGATTTTAACTTTGCAGTAGTTATAGAATAACAAGCACATGAAAAATGAATTATGCATGAACATTTTGAATTGATATTAGGAATAAGTTACAGTCTTTGAAACAAAATGCAATAGTATTTCCTCTCATCCTTCCAACAGCAATAGCGAGTCGATTTATCTGAAGACCACATCTATCGTTAACTAATATGAATCTCCACTCTGAATAGGACAGACCTGTAGTCTACGTATTGTTTCTTATGTTAATAAAAATGACAACGTTGTATGAATAGACATATGAAACAATAATACTAATTTTAATATTTTCGTTGATATCTTATAATAGTCGAAAAAATGGTGAAAATCAAATGCCTAGATTGTTCGAGTGGTAGAGAAATTGTAATCATTTATTGATAAAAACAGGGGCATTGTTTTTCTCAGACTTTGCTACAATAATATGGAGTCATTATTGACATCGGCAACTACTACATAAACATGTCCAGATCCAATCGCATGAATTGATAAGCTTTTAGGCATATAAGATTCTATTCGTGTAGAAAATTAGGTGATTTCCATGAGAATTTTCTGCGATACTATCCATGAGCATATTGCCATCAATATTGACTACTACCCTAGTAAGGAATCGAAACCGAGCTGATAGGTAGCTTTGGTTGGAAATGTGCCTTTATTTGAATTTAATAGAATACAGATTTTGTTTAATCAGTAGTTCGCAACAATGATGTCAGGTTTACTGTGAACTTGCGCTTTGAAATTATGATTGTCTATATTCAAAATAGAATGACGATGTTATCTGAATAATCGTGTATTTGAATAATATCAACATCATCCTCCCTATTGCTATTAGCTACTTTCATAGAGCATGGTATGGCACCAGCAAGTTATATTTCTTGAACCTTAAACTTGGTTGTAGCAAGTTTGACACGAACAATGATACAATTTGCATCACTCCTTGCTTGATTCATGTCTGCTTTGTCCTTATAATTGTCATGCATTGTTGTCATAGAAAACAAAATGTAGCCATAGTTTTTATAGTGGTCTTTTACACTCCAACTTTCCTTGTTAATACCAAGCATAATGCTGATTTCGTTTTAACCTGAGTTCACGACACTAAACTCAAGTTTTGCATCAGCATTGACATAGCATACCGACAATGGTTTTGACGTAAACACTTCTATATTCAATAACCGAATAATGCATGTACTCTGGCCTGCTTTCAAAAAAAAAGTACTGATATAATTGATATTATGATATACCACAAGAATATTGATTCAATCATTAGCATTCACCTGACCTACTATTATGTAATATGGTTTTGTTAAAAAGAACGTTGATTTCTTTCCGATTGAAATTGCTGACAATAATGTCTTGTCTAATATTTCATTAATATCTGTTAAGGTTAAAGAGTACAAATAATTCTCAAAGTTAAATACCATGGCCTTGCCCAATATACTATTATCAATGCCAAAAACAAATGTGGACGTTTGTTATTGTGACGTGTAACGACAATATCGATTGCGTTATCATCATCAGCTGCAGCTGCTGCTACTGAAATTACTCAAGAGCTAGCTGAATAAAGATTTTAAGTAGCAAAATTTTCCTTGGTCATATTGAAATGAACACCAACGATGTTTAGATTAGTTTTTTTCTAGAAAATATAGCGACTTTATTATTATCATTTCTATGGACTATTATTAAAGAAGATGATGACGAGTCAGTAAGATAGATTTCTTGAATCTTAAACATGCTTTTCTACCTATTAAGCAAAGCATTGGTTGATATTGTAGTAGTATACAGGCTGTTTCATAGGTCTTGAGGCACGACAAAATTAGTTTCTATGCAGACAGAGAATAACTCCGGACCGAACATTTTTATATGAACGTTGAATACTCATGTGTCTATCTTTCAAATTGCACGTTATTGGATAATATCTTTTATTGTAATAATAAAATCATAAACAGGAGAATGCAAGGATAAATTTTGTACAATCGACCAAGATATTTTATTAGAAAAAAATGAAAGACATTTTGTTTCATAATTACATATATGAATCTTGTTACACAAAACTCTTATTTAATTATCACGTATTTGTTGTCTAACGCGTCATATTAACTTACTAAGTATCTTAGAAATTTTATGAATCATTAGAAATTTTTGTTTTTCCTCCATTGTTCAATATAGTTTTTAGTTGTTTAAAGCTTGAAAAACATTTTCCTCGTACTTTTTCGTTTAATGTTCGCATAGACTTTCAGTGGGCCATACGTCTGTAAATTTAGCGTCGCCTTCGTAAGCTAAAATTTGCTTATGAAATATTTCATCAATAGTGCAAAATAGAATCTTTGTTCATTGGTTTTCGTTTGGTACGAAACGTTTATATATATTTTATTCATTTCAATCATGTTACTAAATGTAAAGCTTGATTGAATATGTAACCACTGAATTGTGATGAACACTAGAGAAAAGAATAAGATAAGTAATTATTAGGTTATAATACGCTATTTTTTCTGTAGGATTGTTCAGCACTTTATGAAAAAATTAAAAAAAAAACACGTTAATCGATTGTGAAAAATTTATCCTCACATTTTTATGCTTATATTTTTACAATTACAAGAGAAGATATCATCCAATAATATGTCATTTGAAGGACTGATATGAGTACTGAAGATTCATATAAAAACAATTGATTTTGGGGTTATTTTCTGTCTGCATATAAAACTAATTTACGGTGCCTCAAAATGTATGAGTCACCCCTTACGGTTTTTTAGTTCATCATCACATGTTTAATCTACTTTTTACTTTACAATTAGAAAGTGAATATATTAATAGAGCAAGACAGAATTTAGACCATTAACTAAATTAAGACTTGTTGATGTAGATATATGAAATAACTTCACCTGGAAATAAAATCATTGTTGATGACTTTGAGCATCTCCTCACTACTAATGTTGCTCTTTTTCAATTCAAAAATGAAAAACAAAGTGTTTCACATTGAGTATCGATTAGCAAAACTCAATGAAAAATAAATACAATCAACTATTAATAAAATACTTCGAAAGATTTTATCTTGAAAAGATAATCGATCATCATGAGTAACTGTCACCATATTGTAATTTAAGTGCGATAACAAGGTTAATAAACTACAAACAATCGAATTTGCTGATTTATTGCAGAAGCAACAAAAACCAATCAAATGGATTTACATAAAATGACATAAAAACTTATTAACTTAAGCATAATTTATATTTATTACAGTATCAGTAGTTTCATAATGTCTTTTGGTGGTTTAATATACATGTAATAGTATATAGCCTTTAAATACTGTTAAGTGAAACTTATTAGGCCTAAAGTAATATTAATCACTGACTATAACTGACTGCTTTTTTTATAAGTAAGAACCTGTAAAATTAGAGAATTCAAATATATGTAGAAGCTACCAGAGATGGGATTCGGTTGCCTTTTTTCCTAACCGAACCGACCGTAACCGAAAAAATCTCTAACCGAACCGAACGTAACCGACCGAATTTTAAAAAGTTTCCAACCGAACCGACCGTAACC